TTCAAAACAAACAAATAAACAAACAAACAAAAAGCAAAGTAAAAAAAACAAACCACAACAAACAAAATATAAACAAACAAACTCCAAAAGACCAAAACCCCATTAAAAAAAGACAGATACACATAGACAAACACTCAACAGAAAAACAAAGCTACGGGAAGGTCTCTTGTAAAAGGAGTTAATATGGCGCCCACTGGACAGTTCAACTCACCATAAGAACTTTAAGTAATATGTAAATAGTGGCATCACACATGTAGGCCATAGTTCTGTGGACGCGCCGTAGATGTTAGCGAATGGTGTTTTTTTTTTTTTTTTGGTAAGGGTTCTACGGCGCTCGCAACTGCATAGGGTCATATGAGCGCGCGGGACACATTAATATTTTTCAGTTCGTCGGAAATTTTGCATTTTGCCCGGGTGGCGGCCGAAGCCTACTCTTATCGATTTTAGACCACCAAGGGATTTTTAACGTGCGCAATTTGCACATGTGCCTTCCGAGATTTCCGCCCTTGTTCGAGAAGGCTAGGTGTAGATCTCTCCTACCAGAAGATCAGGTGTGAGGCTGAAAGACAGCAGTAAGAAGGAGCCAAGGAATAGCAGTAGAAAGGCTGCAGAAAGAGTCAGGAGCTCAGAGGAGGGAGGCAGAAAGAGGGAACGAAAACAGACGACAGAACATTGCTAGAGAGCAGGAAAGAAGGTGAAAGGAGTTTAGAGAGGAACATTTTTCGGTCGCTATCCGGATTCGAACCCGGGACCTTTGGATGAGAGGCCAACACCTTAACTCTAGGCAACGAGAGCCCCATCTGGTGTGGTTTGCCTCTTCTGCCCTATCAAACATCTATCCCTTCTCCTTCTTATTTTTGTATGCTACATTTTAGTACATTGTAACACCTCAAATAATCTTCGGCACATAAATGACATACATGTAATTGTGTTGTAAGGGTCAACTTAAACTTAAAAGTAGAATAAGAGGACCTATACAACAGTGCCTTATCAGCGCCCCAAGAGCCGCCAATCAATAATGTGGACATCAAAAATAAGTTGCGTGGCAATAAATTGGTATAGTAGGCTACTATATCGTGGAGAATGGCCTATCATATACATTGAAATCAGTACTTCAAAATAAAAGGGAAAAAATGAACTACAACCCCTCCCCTTTTTTAAAAGAAAAGGCGCCCCAAACAAAACAAAAAAGAAAAAGAAAAACAACTAACCAACAAACCAACAAACAAACAATGAAACAAACAAAAAATCTGATAAAACCGATCAGAAAACGAAACCTTCCACAGGGCAGCTTCAAAAACATTTAATTCAAACTGTGAACTCGGATTGTGTTGATAACTTAAACACACACACACACACACACACACACACACACACACACACACACACACACACACACACCAACGAACACTTTATCGATAAACCAGAGTAGACTTGAAAATGCAATGGGTAGGTCACCGTTACATGTAATAGACTAGAAACAGGCAAATGTTAAGAAAGGTTTTCGTTTCGTTCACCGCATGGGTCAAAGCAAAAGGGAAACCAGATTAAACATGGACTTAAAAAACCCGAAAACAATAACCCCCCCCCCTCC